TAAACACCAGTTCCCCAAGGTGAAGTAGAGTTTTTATCAAGAATTACTTTAAAATAGGTTTATATAACAACTCGAAAATATCAAGCACTTAATGAAAAACATTCATCCTCACTGCCTTGGTGGACTCTTGGATTGACTCTCCTAACCAAACGAGTTCTGCATGTTTCTACTTTTTGAAGAGGTTAGAAAGTTAAAAGGCTCCCTTGAAGGCAAGGTGTTGGTCATAAATTTTGTTCTGCCACTTATTTGCCTGTGGAGAGCACAAGTGCAGCAGAGGTGTTATCCCTACAGTAGGTGCAAAGAACAAAAATGTCTAATAGACATTGAGTGGCTACCATAGTCCTTGTTCCCCATCAGCTCATCACTTTCATGAGTGAAAAGCAGCCATGGCAATGGGCAGTGGTGGTAGTGGCAGTATGTGTGACCTTGAAACTGGAAGTCCAGTGGTAGCTCCCCAACTTTTCCTCCTCCAGCCCTTCCAATGATTTTTAAAGTGTCTGATTTTTTAAACCCCTAGTAACTACAAATACTCTTAGCTACAGTGGATCTATTTACTGTTCTATACCCTCACTGACAGATTGATATGACATGACTTTAGGTCTTCTTACCCTCTTCCTTCAACTACTGTTAACCTCTTAACTTGGTGACTTGCTTGCAATCTCTCACCATCCCAGTTCACTGACCTGCCACTACCAAACTGATCATGCTTAAAGAAAGATTATCAAAAAAAGGCCTTATGAAAATCTCTTCTGTTCTCTTATATACCTGTACCTTTGTTTGTGCAGCTGATTGTGTCCTTTAATTGCTTCTCCAACTGGTGAAATCCCACTTGACCTTCAGAACCTAGCTCAAGTGAGATTCTCTGTGACTCTTTCCCAACAGGGTCACTCCACATGCCACTCCCTTTCACAGGTACACTCCCTTTCACACACCCTGCTTTCTGCAATAGGTTCTGTGTTCATTCACACATTCGTGCATTAATTCAAAAGACATTTGCTGAGTTACATTTACCTACCACATGTTACACACTGTGCTCTTCACACACCCTGCTTTCTGCAATAGGTTCTGTGTTCATTCACACATTCATGCATTAATTCAAAAGACATTTGCTGAGTTACATTTACCTACCACATGTTACACACTGTGCTGAGAGCAGGGATACTACGCTATGCAAGATAGACAAAATCTCGTCTTTCTTGCAGCTGCAACCCAACAGGGATATAGAGTACCCAATAATTACCTAAATAATTTTTAATCACAATTGCAGTAAGTGCAATATAAGATTCAGTGTGCTGTCTTTTCATGTACAAATGGAAGCCTAACCTAATCTGGGAGGATTAAGGGGAATCATTTTCCCTGAAAAGACATTTAAACGGAAACTGGAAGATGAGTAAAAGCTGATCAGGCAAAATACTGTTAGAGATCTTCCTAGGCAGAAGGAGCAGCATGTACAAAGACCCTGGGGCAGCATTCTAGGAACTGTAAAGACAACCAATGGGCAAAAGTCAGGGTGCAAGGGGAACAGCAGCCCAAAATAAATGGAGAGGGAGGTATTTCTTACAACCACTATAACAGCTCTTAGCACTTTGTTTTAGAATTATTCATTTGCAAAAGCACAGCCCCCGCTAAACAAACTCCTTTAAGTCTTACAAATTTTTTTAGTCTCATAACCTAATACAGTGTCTAACAAGCAGTGTGTTCTCAAGTCAAGATGTGCAGAATGAAGAAATGAGTGCTTGATCTGGGCAAGGAGCTTTAACTTCTCAATACCAGACAGGCTGAACAAAACAATATCTAGGGTTCAAAAACCTTGTTTCTGACTACCCCAAAACTTACTGGGCAAGAGACTCATTTTCATGCCAGTTTATACATGTTCCAAATCAAAGTTAGTATTACCTGTGGAGGAAGCTTTAAATACCGAAAATGAAACTTGAAGTTGGCAAGGGGCACTCAGTCCTCATTGCTCCATAAAGTGCCACCAACTCATAACCAACAGAGCTGCTTTAAAACTCCCACAGAGTCACAAATGCGGCTAGGGAAGAAGCAGAGCTCCATCTGCCTGTTCTTATTCTCCAGTTGCTCAAAAGATTTGGTAAGAATAGGATCAAGAGCTGGAAACTGGCACTTATGCTATTCTTTCTTTCTTCCTTACTTCCTATGTACTGTCAATTCAGGAAACACAACTGGTGACTCAGTAAGAAAATGTCAAAACCCAATTGACATACATCTGTTAACTATTATAAGGCAACAGAATAAGATAATCTCAAACCGCAGGCTTTAGTCTTGATACATGTTCTGAAAGATTAGTGCAGAAAGCATTCTTGAAAGAAAGAAAATTGAGTTAACTAGGAAATAGCTTCAAAATACATAAAAGCCTTGATGTGCAATTTATTACACAGTGAAGAAAACATCAACACATATACAGATGAAACCTCTTAATAACCAAGCTTTAGAGTAAAGACCTCAGCATGTCTTTTAAAAGTACATTTAGTCAGAATTTCACTACCTACATTTATTATGTCATCTGGCATATATAATAATAGATCCAAAATCATTTAACAAGTCAATAATTCTACTCTAAGAGAGCTCCACAATGGGGCTCAACCATACGAAACACTCAAAAACTTTGCAAAAATATAATTAAATCCATCAATTACCAAATCATGTCAAATTTTTCAATTACAACTATGAAATCAAGTCTAATTAAACCAACAAGTGGCCTTACCTTTATATTTTTTTCCTAAAAGATCAAGATAAAACAATGAAAAAATTTACAAGATCGTTATAACATTATTCTAGATTTAGCAGCAACAAGGAAAAAATAATCTTTCTAAATCATGACTGTGAAGTTCACACCCTTCAAGATGCACCCTTGAACTCTTGATAGTATTCTCCTTTCCCACTTCCACCACTTCTCAAAAACAAACAAGCCAACAAAAAAAAGACGAAACAAAACCAAAATACAAAAGACATTCATTCAACATATATCTATTGATTTAGCTGGTGATAAAGTGAGCAAAACAAATGCTTCCTATTCTTCACATCAGAAGTACAACTTTTGATCCTAATTTAAGAAGTACATGATTCTCTTCCACCCACCCCCAAAAAAGTAACTAAAAACGTGTTAATATGTGGTTAATAATGGCTTTTTTTTTTTTTTAAGATGACCGGTAAAGGGATCTTAACCCTTGACTTGGTGTTGTCAGCACCACGCTCTCCCAAGTGAGCCACGGGCAGGACCTAATAATGGCTTTTTAAAACCTATAAATTATTTTAGGAAGTATTAGTGAAAATCTGATTTCATAAAGTCCTTTTTTGAAGAAAGAAACCTGAACAAAAAGTATTTCTTTATTTCTACACATAAAGGAAGGTAATTATAGGAACTGTTTTATTCAGTTTTCAATGAATAGATTTAATACTTTCCAGCATCTCTACCTTACCATGTTATTTATTACTCAAAACGACAAAATGTGTACTACATAACTTCAGCTTCTTTATTTTCCTGGCTTTTAAAGGCCAATTTGCAATGTTTTACTAGCGCACTGATGAGCAAGCAATTGAGCCTCAATATCGTATAGTATTCCCAAATAACCATGTACATAATCAAGTATCAGGTAAACAAATATTATTACAAGAACCAGGGATACAATTTTTTTAAACTCATCACCTGAAAGGTTGCATGGGATAAATATAAGACTGACTCAATCAAGTTGCTAAGCTATTGAAAAGTGCTTCATAAAATGATCTAGTTACAGTATTTCCCCATGATTTTTCCACTCCTCCAGCACCTGCTATGACAGTGAAGTAACTTGCTGATGCTGTGTGGCTCAGTCTAATCAAATATTATCAGCCTACTGAAATGTGACTCATTTATATAGTACTAAGAAAGAAGAATAAAGCTTCAGGGAAAGTCTAGGTCAAATAATGCAGAAATCTTAAATGACATTCCCGAAAACGGACTGTCTTCTGCTTTGGAGTACTACCTATTTCTCACTGAATAATCAAATAAACCAATTTACAAACAAGCAAGATATTTTCCTAACTATATGAGATGTTTGTTTTTAAAAACCTGAAGCATTCTTCCCATGAGATTACTTACAAGACATTAAACATAAATCAGATCTACAAACGCAAAACATATCAGCTAAAAATAGATTTATTTCAAAGGCTAAGGCAGAAGAAGCCTCCAACCGAACAAACTAAAATTAGGTCTTTTCCATCTCTGGATCTTTAAAATGCACCTTCAACATTAATAAGAGACACACTAACTAGTGTCTACATATTTTACCGAACTAGCTGGTCAGAGAGAATCTAACTATTATAATGTTCAGGAGCATAAACCCACTATCCTCCAAGAGACTCATGTAATGAAATTTCTCTTCATTCTCGCTAATGGCCAGACTAAAAAACAATAATACTAGTAATAAAGACCCTACACAATTATTTTTACTCAGTAAAACTCCAAACCACCAAAAAGCACCTCCATTGTCTTCTTCAGAAAGCAGAGGCAAGAGCCCTGCACAAAAGCTGTCAGGTGAGCAGACAGGTAGGGCCCCACCTGGGTGACCGATCATTCGAGCCCCGAGCGGGAGGACGTGGTCACACCAGAAGGTCAAGGAGGGGATCAAGTCCTAAGGGGCGGCCCACAGACAGAAGTAGCAATGAACAGGTGGGAGGGCAACCTTCTAACCCGAAACGATGCCCAGGCCAGCGCCACTATCCACGCTCCCAACTCCGCCCCGATCTAAGCCCTGTGGCGGGTCAGAGCATCGCCACGCGCGGTCCGAGAGAAGAGGAGGCTGAGACCACTGACGAGGCCCGCGAACCAGACCTGACCGCCGCCTCTGGCTGAGGTGAGGGTAGACAGGAGCCCCGCCCCGCCTGCCCACCCGCCCTCTGGTCAGGGCCGGGGAGGCCGGCGAAGCCGAGGCGCCGTGGTGGCGGGAAGGTCACCGGTCGCAGAAGGCCCCAACCAGGGGCGGCGACCACGTCCGTGATACCTTTGGCTTCGCAGTCGGCGCAGTACTTGTTGTCCTCCTCCCTCAGTAGCTTGGACAGGATGAGCTGGTGCTGCTCGTTCAGCTTCTGAGCCTTCTCCCGGCAGGAGCGCGTCGCCATCTCGGCAGCGGGGCGGGAAGCCCGGGGCAGCTACGGCCGCGGCGGACGCAGGCAGGGTGAACACACCTGCCGCCGGTGGGACCGCGGGCGGACTCAGCCCAGAAAGCTGCGGCGGCGGGGATAGCCGGAACGGGAGGAGGGGCAGCGGCTGCCGCGGGGCAGCGCCG